GACTGTAGAGAAGCAGGGAACAAAGCAAGTAGGACTTCAGCGACAAACTGGGAGAAAGACTGTCACCGACTCGTTGCCTCGAGGAACTCAAGGGTGAGTTTGGAAGCATTTAATTGTTTTTCCAAATTGTTTTTTTCCCTTTTTCTTACATTAAGGAGATGCAATCACCACCCACCCTGAACCAGACCAAGCCTAACCATGACAGCTATGCCTACGACCTTTGCCTTATTTTTAATGCTGAGATCGCTCCAGGAGGAGCTTAGGCCTTATTATGGAAACCTACAGTGTACGTGGAAGTGTGTTTTCCAACTGAGCCTGCACAAGTGAACACCTGCCTCTCCCCTGTGAATATTCATTCCCCATCCAAAATAAAAGGTGCCTGTTTCCCTATGTTCGGGGATGCCATGACTTTGGAAATTATTCCTCATTGTCTCCTTTTTGCCGCAAATATACTTTACTTTGTGAGACAACTACTTCTGGTGGAGAGTCTGATTTAACTCACCAGGAGGGAACCTACTTTGGTTTCAGTAACAAGATGAACGGTAGTTCAGACCAGAGTGACAACAGTGAAGGTGGCAAGAAGTGGTCAGATTTTGAAAATACCTGAAGATAGAGCCACCATAATTTCCTGAACTGGAGGTGTGGGAGAAAGAGAAGAGTCAAGAATAACTCACATTTTTGGGCCTAAGCAATGCAAAAGATGAAGTTATCAGCTAAGACAGGAAAGATTGCAGATAAAGCATATTTGAGGGGAGAGATAAGGGATTCAGGTTTGAACAAATTGAGTTTGAGATGTTTGTCAGACACCCCAGGGAGGAGAACACATGAGCAGTTGCACATAGAAGTCAGGGACTTGGGAAGGAGTTTGGGCTAGACAGATAAATTTGGGAGTCATCAGTCATAAATACCATAAATAGTATTTAAAGCCATGGGATGCCACCAAGGAGTGAGTACAGACAGAGAGCAGAAGAGGTCCCTGGACTATACCCTGGGCCACTCCAAAACTAAGACGTCAGAGAAGAAGATGAGAAACACACAAGGAAGACCTAGAAAGAGTGACCGATGGGTTAGGGAGAAAACTAAAAGAGTGTATTGTCTTGGAAGCGAAGTAAAGAAAATACATTAAGGAGGAGAGAATTATCCACTGTGTCTGATGCTGCTAATTGGCCAAGATGAGGACTGAGAATTGACTGCTGGGTTTAGTAACACAGAGGTCATTGGTATCCTGGACAGAAGTAGTTTCAGTGGAGTGGTCAGCAGGGCATCAATCTTTGAATTGAGCTGATCCCATCATACTCTGCCAAATTTGTAAGAATGTCGCTCAATCTACGTTAAGAGATCTGGAGGTTGCATGGTTCTTAGAAGGATCAAAGCACTGGGCTGCCTGCCATCATGCTCCACCCAATTGAACTACATCACCTGCCTCCATCCCTATTAGGCAGTTGAGGGCACAAGGTATCTGGACAGCTCTTCCATTTTTACCAAGTTCTGGACAGAACAAGTAACTAGTCATCTCATTTCTTTTTTCATTCATGCTAAATTAATAAACATCTAAATTTCTTTTTTCCTTAGAATTTCACAACTATGATTCCTATATCTTTGTTTCTCACCACTCATCTTTTCTAACTCCAATGTGGTCATTACCCACCACCTCTTTTCTCTAAATTCTACAACCCAGACTTAGTCCTGACACATTCCACATCTCCTACTACTACCATTGCAGTCACCAGTACTAAAGCAGATATCGAAAGCTATTCATAGGTTAACTATGAATCTGTTAGGCCTAATTTCCTTAGCTTCCCTGGTTAACAGATCACTGAGATCTTGGTATCATCATATCATCTGGAAGAATAAAATAACATGGTTCTTTTACTCTGGATTTCTTCTTTCTGGAGTATATGTATGCATTTGTGTGCTTTACCTTAGTTATATGCCACCTACATTTTTAATTCAACTATTTTTCATGTTAAATGTGAGTTGTAACATGGAGTGCTATAGTAAAGAGGTGTGCTGGAAAGAGAAAGAATTCTGAGTCTAGGTTCGAGAATTCTAGGCTCAATTCTTCTTTGGAGAGGCTGTGGAGAAAAAGGAACCCTCATACACTACTGGTGGGAATGCAAACTGGTGCAGCCACTGTGGAAAACAGTATGGAGATTTCTCAAAAATTTAAAAATAGAAATATCATATGACCCAGCTATCCCGCTACTGGGTATTTATTCAAAGAACTTGAAATCAATGATCCCAAGAGATTTATGCACCCTAATGTTCATCGCAGCATTAGTCACAATAGCCAAGATGTGGAAGCAACCCAAGTGCCCATCAGTGGATGAATAGTATATTTTAATATTATAAATATATAGGTTGCTGCTTAAAACAACCAGAATCTCTTTGGTCCAAAGCAACTAGATTTTCTTTAACATTCTTCTTAAATCAAATCCTAAACATGAACTCCCAACCCTGCCTTCTGAAAAACCTTGGATTCCCATGCAGCTACAATTCTCACAAGAATTGTTGGATAATTCCAAGAAAGAAATTCACATTTATGTTTTTAATTCATTGATTTGGTTCCACCATCGTTAACATTAATAATCAGTTGATTACTTTTGGTAAAACATAGCTAATACAATATTAAAGGAAACCTAATTTTCTGGATTAGGAGCTTATCCAATCAATAAAACAAATTACAGTAACTCATGATGATAAATTTTAAACTTAGGCAACAAGGAAATATTTTATTTTCCAATTCTTCATTAGTTTTCTGAGTTATTATGGACATATAATATACATTTCCCCATCTGTATTATTATCTTATTTTCTCACTTTAAAATTGTAACATTAATATTTTTAATTTATTTATTGTTTTAGAATATTTCTCAAAATTAAACTGCACCATTGTCATCAAAATAAAGACTAGTCGACAATTATTACTTTATCTCAAATTTCTTCTTAATGTTTTACGAGGAAACACACCAGGATGGGCACTGCGTGAGTCCTGCACATCAATTAATTTCTGTGTGTCAATTTCCTCACCTGAAAAATGAAAACCTCACCACCAACACACTTCTGAGTCTATTATGAGGAAAGAATTTTAACAAGTTTGTGTAAATCTCTGGCGTCATAAAATGATAAACAACAAATCTCACTCATCATGAAACTATATCCAGCATATAACACCAAAAAGCAAAAAAAAGCAGATGTATCTGGGCCAGGTTTTTATTCCCCATAAAGGAATTAGATATTTATACCTCGTACAAGTGACGAAATTGCTGTTCTCTTTCGTTCAACTAAAAAACAAAAAAGCAGAAAAGCAGTGCTGAGTATTTAACTAAGATGGGAATTATTTTTAAGATAGAAAAGATATAATAGCTAACACTTCTATGGTACTTTAAATTCACATGTTACGAATTGTGATCTTCACAATAAACTTAAGTAGAACTTATTTATTTTTATTTTACACCTGAGCATAAAGAAGCTCATAAAAGAGACTGTAATGGGATTGCTCAGCAGGGCTTCAGAGAAGCCAGTATTTGGACCAGGAATTCCATCTCTAAAGTCTTCCCCTCTCCACCAAACCAAACTAGACTGCCAAATTCTTGGGTAACCACATACACCTTGGAAGTCAGATGGTCTGAATAAAACTCTGGTTTGGACTAAACCCAGGAGTGGTTGGGTGAAGCTCTGAACTTCCATCGGCCACTGGTCTTCCACTCTCATCTTCATCTTCCAAACCGGTCTCAACTCGTCTTCTGGATTTTTATTCACCACTTCATATGCAAATATCCTCTTTGCACTGTGAGGACATTGATGGAAGCTTCTAGGGTCTTATTCATATTTGCTTTCTTCATAATAGCTTACACATAAGAAGCCCTAAACAAGTAACTATTTCAATGAATTAATTCATTAATTCTTGCAAAAAAATTTCCTGAACACTTACTCTGTGACTTGCTTAGTGCCAGATCGGTCAACAGTTCAGAGAGGATCCCTCCCATCATGGAATTTATGGACAGACGTTGAACAAGTAACAGCAATAGTGACGAGAGCTCAGGGAAGAGTTGTTTGCTAGGAAAGGTAGATCACACGTGGAACTAACCCAGTGTGAGGCACCAGGAAGGCCTCCCTAAAGAAGGGACCTTTAATCTGCCACCTAAGGTTGACGGGGAAGGAGACAGATGAGGAAGAAAATGCAACCTAGGCAGAGAGACCAGCATTCACACGAAGATGGGACAGTGCCCCCCTCAAGCACATCTTAAATCCTGCTTCTTACTGAACTACCTTGGCTCAGACCCAACTCTAATAAAGATGTTGGGATTTTCAGGACACAGTAGGCATCACAACAGATTAAAATAATTTCTTCATATAGATAAATCACCCACTCTTTTGTATCTTTAGAACACCTCAATAAATTTACTCAGCCTTGCTATAAAAGTAGGGCATAGTTATATGGTTCTCTCTATCTCTTTTATCTGAAACATTGTATTTCATATGTGCAGTTCCAATATTCTAATTGATGTCCAGCCTGGGTAAGAAATGGGCTTTTTGTGGAACCAGTAGGAAAATGTTGTAAAGATCTGTTCAGTCACAGCTGTTCTTTACAAGTGACTTCAAATTTTATAGCTAGCAGTAACTGTACTTCCGGTTGTAAATTTAGTCTTCATTCAGTGGGAACTGGGGAGTTGTTGTACAAGGTGTCATGAGGTTGTGTGTGGTATCCCATGTTGTGGAAAATACAATAAATTATATTGCTTTATAGCAAACGCTTTATACATATAATTAAAGTAAGATGTTCTCACAGACTATAGTTTTACAACTTGAAAACTTGGCGTAAAGTTTACACACATATATAAACTGCCAGAAAGACACATGTTTTCATTATATGTAGGCAGACGCTGAACAACCACTGGGGTTGCTGAACTGTGTCCCTTTCAAAATTCATATTGAAGCCCTAAGCCCAGGACCTTCGAATGTGACTGTATTTGGACACAAGGTCTTTAAAGAGGTAATAAAGATTAAATGACATCATAAAGGTGGGGCCCTAATCCAACAGGACTGGTGTTCTTATAAGAAGAGGAAAAGAACACAAGGAATGCACGTGCACGGAGAAGAAGCCACGTGAGGACACAATGAGAAGGTGGCCACCTGCAAGCCAGGGAGAAAGGCTTCCGATGAAACCAAACCTGCTGGCACCTTGACCTCGGACTTCCAGCCTTCAGAACTGTAAGAAAATTAATTTCTGCTGTTTAAGTCATGCAGTCGATGATATTGTGTTACGGCAGCTCTTATAGTCTCAACCATGTCCCACCAAAATTCCTCTGTTGAAGCCCCAACTGCAACATGACTGTATTTGAAGATGGGACCTTTATGGAAGCAACTAAGGTTAAATGAGGTCATAAGGGTGGGGCTCTCATCCCATAGGACCAGTATCCTTATAAGAAGAGACACACCAGAGAATGCTCCCTCTCTGTCCTCACCAACAGAGGAAAGGTCAGGGGAGGACACAGGGAGAAGGAAGCCATCTGAAAGCCTGGAAGAGAGGTCTTACCAGAAACTGAATTTTCTAGCACCTTAATCTTGGACTTTTGGCCTCCAGAACCGTAAGAAAATTAACTTCTGCTGTTTAAGCCACTCAGTCTGTAGACTCTGTTATGGCAGACCAAGCAAACTAATACAGCAGCAAACTAACACAGATATATATTTTACAGTCATAAATATACATGAATGAGTATATGCATGCACACACAGACCGGCTATGCACAGGCAAATTATCTCGAGTCCTATTTGAAAACAGTGGGAAGGCTTTTACTATGCATTTGCATATTAAAATTTTTGTTAGATTAAAAATGAGTATCCATAATTTATATTTATGCAGTCAGAGTGTATCTGGATATTAATGAGAAAAAACAAAGTTGTTTTTAAGAAGTGGGGTCAATGTATGGGTACGCTCAAAAAAATGCTTCGGACATATTTATAAGTTGATTATTTCAGCTTTCAGAGAGAATGTAAGAGTCTGGCTCAATCTACCTACAATCGCCAAAGAAGAATATTAAACTTGGACTCTACTGTTTCAAATTAAACTTTTTATATGTAGCTGTTATATTCCTGTCACTTATCAAGTTAGCTTAAGAAGCTTTTTGTGAGTTTAATTAAGCCTGACTAATTCTCCACCAGTATAAAGAAAGACGAATTCCTTAAATATTTAATCCATTTATGACTCAAAGTGTCATTTTCTGAATATGGCTGTTAAATTCTTAGAATTAATTACCCTTTGAATTAAAGCTGCTTTTTCAGACATTCAAGACATACAGTCACAGCTCACACAATGCGCAAATTCAACATTTCATCTGTTTATCAAGAGAATTTATTCCAAATGCTATATTCAAAAATCACAACCTGGCAGGCTTATTTTTGACCATGGAACTAAGGAATCTTTGACTGTAAGCTTCACAACAATTGGCCCTGTCTTCATCCTGATCTCCACTCTTGGTTTTTCCACTGCTTCTCCCTTCATCCACATATTAATGAGTTAAAGGTTAACTGCCCTCTATCTACACAATCTCTATTCTTTTGGGGCGGGGGCGGGGGGGGGAAGGTTAGCCCTGAACTAACATCTGTTCCCATCTTCCTCTATTTTATATGTGGGGCGCCTACCACAGCATGGCTTGATAAGCAGCGTGTAGGTCCGCGGCCAGGATCCAAATGCATGAACCCAGGGCCGCCAAAGCAGAACATGCGAACTTAACCACTACGCCACTGGGCCGGCCGCTACAATCTGTATTCTTTTTTATTGTGACTTTGTTCTCCTTAACTCATCCCAAGCCTCGCCTCCTTCTGAAAGATTGTCCCCATTATGATCAGCAGGCAGCACAATCATAGGTCCATCCTTCCCTCTCGTATCATCTGAAATGCTGAATGCACCCGTGACTTCATTTTAATTACACATTTCCTATTTGTTCTCTCCTAGAATTTTGAAGGCTGCCCAAGACTAGAAGCAGTGTTCCTCAAGACTAGAGTCCCAAGAACCCAAGGTGATCAACCAGGCAACCACATCACTGAGCGCTCCATATCCCCAGAAATAGACCCTGGATTCCTGTATAAGAAAACTGAAGACTGGATACATGAGGGAACAGCAAACCACGTATCCACACACACACAGCCACCGAGACACAAGCAAAGGGGCACCAACCCTGAGTGCCTTGTGATCTGTTAGTGCTCAGTCATCATTTCAACATTCCCCGCATCTTGCTGGACGCTGAGGTTATGGGAGTTGCTCGTTAATGCACCCTCTAAAGGAGAAAGCTGCCTTTTGATTGAAATTAAAATTCCCTCAGGGACATGAAGAGATTGAAAGACTATCAATTAGTTATTTAGCTTTCACATTTACAAGTCTCAGTCTGGGGAAAGTTGATTCTCAGATACCATTTTCTAGTCTTAGTAATATAAACATTGACTGAAAAATATTTCTAGAATAATTCACTGAGCAGTCTGCCCTCCCCCCCACCACCTCCCACACACCTCTGACTTAAGATACAATTATTTACATTTAAAGCATAAAACACAAAATGGCACATTGGAATTTCCAGTGCCAGCCACTTCCTATTTTTTTTAAATAAAATGTATTCTAAAAATACTTTGGTTGTGGAAAAAAAAAAAAGAATAGAAAAAATTCATTAGAAGAGAAAACACTAAACTCCCGTGGTTACTGGAATGGAAACAGCCAGCCCCGGTGGCAGACGTGGACATCCATGGCGGGGGCCCCCCTGCGTCGAAGGTACATACCACCTTTCATCATTCCTACTTCGTAGCATTTGCGGAGCCGGCAGGCCTGACAGCTCTTCCTCCTGTTTTTATCAATCGTGCACTGGTTGGTAGCTGGACACATGTAGTCATTATGTCCTGTTAAAAGGAAAAGGATGTAATTAATGTTACTTCAGGAAACATAGCCAGTCAGAATCTACAGGGAGTCTGTCTGGAGGATTAGCTCACATCACGCACTGGCCTATGTTGCTACCTCAGCCACAAATCCTTTTTCTGTCCTTCTCAAAGTGTGAAAAAACCTCTCCTAGAACTTAATTTCTGCCTCAGCCAATTGCTTTGGGAGTTCTTTGGGCAAATCATCTTCCGTTCATACAGCTTATATTTTGGGGCACGATGTTTTACACACACTCACAAGGTTAAGTTTTCTCTGCAGATAAGGCTTTTTTTTTTTTAACTCAAGCCACTAGCAAAATTGTTGTCAGAATAAAACTATTGGAGCTTTCAGAGCATTTCAAAGTCGGCTTTCTTAAAATATAATTTCAAGAATCTTTAGGTATTCAAATGCAGCGCAGAACACCTGGATTCGAGTCGTGGGTGGTGGGCTGAGGCAGGCAAAGTTCAGTCCTCACGTTAGTAAGTTAGACCATCGCTTACTAGCTGGAGGACCCTGAGCAAGTTAGTTAACATCTCTAGGTCTCATTTTTCCCCTTCTCTAACCTAGAGAAAATAATGGCGCCCATTATATAACATTATTCTAAGAATTAAACATAAGAATACATGTCAAGGGGCTTACCACAGTGTCCTGGATATGGTGAGCCCTCAATAAATATTAGTTGTTTTTGTTACTATTATTTTATTATTAGCCCTCTTTCTTTTCTCCCTTGTTTATTGAATCTTTCTCACTCAAATGCTTCTTTCTCATTCATTTTATCATGGGCATGTTGGTCTCACAAAAAGGTCTCCTTTGACCTCACATCACTCTAGAACTTCATCTTCTCTCCTGTCCCCCCTTCTCAGCTCCATTCCTCAGAGATGACTACACTGGAAGTCCCCTCACCTCTCCCGCATGACTCAACCTACACCACCTGAGGTGCCCCCCAAAAGCAGCTTTCTTGATATCAGCAGTGACCCTTATTGCTGAATTCAACAGAGATTTTCAGTCCACATCATAATAGACCTATCTGAAGCATCTGAAAATTCCTCCCTTCCTCTTGAAACATGCTTTTCCCTTGGGTTCCATACCCCAAAACTGCCCCAGCGCTCCTCCTCCCGCTCACGCTGTGGCTTCCCAGGGTTGTTTGAAGATTGGCTGCATCCTACATTAAGCCAGAGCAGCATAGGGCTCAAGGTCAGGCATCCTCTCTTCCTGTGACTCCAAATTCTCCCACAAGAAAATACATTCCACGCCTATGCCTTCTGTTGCCATTAAATACAGACAATTCACAGGTTCGTTCTCCCACCCAAACCCTCCTCTCTGAGCTCCAGGTGCATCTATCCAGATGCCCACATGAAGCTCTGCTTTAAGGTTTAGAAATCATCTCCATCTCTTTATCCATCAAAACAAGTCTGGTTTATAGTATGCAGAATATTAAACTTCACAAACTAATAAATATTGGCATGGTATTCATAAAGAAGTCCATTTATATAAAGAAGTCTAAATTCTTAGACTTCTTGGGAAAATGGTTTGAATTTACACTAAGGAGATGATATGTATTATTTTAAAACATATTTCCTATTCTCAAAAAAAAGTGAGTATATACTCCACCCTCTAATTCAGATTGTCTGGTTAAGTTTCTATTTTGTCATTTACCAAGGGCAAGATGCAACACGTAGTGAAATGTGTGAACTACAGAACTCTTTATTCTTCATTCAACTTCAGGGTCAGTTCCAATCAGAACAGGGTGGAGTGGGGACTTGACCAGAAATGTTGGTCTCATAAAACTTGCTTCTCCATCTTTCAATATACATTATAAAAGTCACTGTATCAACAGGCTTCAGAAGAAATTAACATCTGCACTGTTCTATTGCATAAGAGGCACGAGCAAACTAGCCAGCAGAACCATAAACTTGTAACTTTAGTAAGAGACCACACAACGCTTCAAACATCCAGGCGCAGTTATTATTTTTAGAATTGTCCTTACTGATAGGGACAAATTGAGGAAATAATAGAACCAGAAACAAAATTTACCTGGGCAGATGTTAATTTGAAGCAAAAGGTGTATTCTTCTGACAACTCAAAGAAATTTTAGTGTTTGGTCTCCTATAACGTTTATGCAATACATATGATTTATTGTAACTCTAAAAAACTGAGTTGATATTAAGTCTCAGAAGAAAACTGTCAATAATCATTAGAACCAAAAATTACTTTCATCTACTTTTTGGCCCCAAAGCCAGTTGTTCCGCAAGTCAGAAAATGGGAGAACCGAATTGGGTCAGAGGTCAATTGGCTAAATATTATGTTTGTCTTGGCCATCTATTGCAGATGTGTATCTTTATAGAACCAAGCGAACTTTCTAAACTAACATGTTTAACAAATAAAATATGCTGGATTTGTGCAACTGAACTCATCCCTTAATGAGATTGAAAATAGATGCCCAAAGGACTCATGTTCATAATAGAAACCTTTGTGACAAAGTGGGTTTTCTCTTGCCCAAATTACATTAAAATTTGGAGTTGAGGGACCAGCCCAGTGGTATAATGGTTAAGTTCACACGCTCCGCTTCAGTGACCCAGGGTTCTTGGGTTCCGATCCCAGGTGCAAACCTACACACCACTCATCAAGCCATGCTGTGGGGCAGTCCACATGCAGAGTGAAGGAGGGTTGGCACAGATGTTGGCTCATCAACAATCTTCCTCAAGCAAAAAGAGGAAGATTGGCAACATATATTAGTTCAGGGCCAATCTTCCTCATCAAAACAAAAAAGATCAAAAAAATAATTTAGAATTGATAAATTGGCAACACGAAAAATTTAATAGGTACTTATTTGATATTTACAATTAAAACAAATTCTTCTTAACCAAACACCATTAACAACTATTTGTAAGTCTTCAACTTACATCAGAAGCAAAACGGCAAAGCAGTTTTTTGTTCTCTTATAACTTAGCAAAGCTGTGTTATTAAAGCAATTGATTTAAGCTTCTCTAAGAAGAAACTTATTTTTAAATTTTATTATTTGGTCTTGCAAAAACAATGCATGAGACAATCCTATTGAAGTAGAGTTAACTTTTTAAAAAACAACCCACATCAATTATATTAATGAAAGGTGCAGTGTTTTTATTGAAGAAACTGATGACCTCTGTGCGCCTGTGACCAGATCAGCCCCAAAGTGGCTTTTGCACAGGCCTGGATGAAGCGCAAAAGGCCAGCGCTGAGTGTGAGGTTCAGGAGAAGGGCTGGAGAAAGAATCGCCATTTTCTTGCCCACCAAAAAATAAAAATAAAGCCTCCAGGTTAATTTGGGGTTTGAGTAATAGGAAGTGGAGAGGAGAGGAGGTGAGTGAAACAGAAGCCAGAAACATGAAGAATGGAGCCAGGAGGCATCTGTGAGCAGGAATTACCAGGCTTGACCCACTGCTCCTGAGGCAAGACAGGCTCACTCAGAGCTTGTCCCCACGCTTCTCTGGGATTCTTTCTCTTGACTTTTGGTTTTAGCTTTTCATCTTATTTTCCCTCTTTCACGGTAGCAGCTGTTTTTGCATTGTTATCATCACACAGAAAGTCAATATTTGTTAATTACAAAACTAACCAAGGACTCATATTCAGAGATACAAAAGATAAATACAAACAGAGCAAATTAAAACAAGCAGGTAAGGATGTGGAGAAAAGGGAATCCTCGCGCACTGTTGGTGGGAACGCAAACTGGCGCAGCCACTACAGAAAACAATACAGAGGGTCCTCAAGAAATTAAAACTAGAACTACCATGGAAGCCGGCAATCCCACTTTTGGGTATTTATCCAAAGGAAATGAAATTATCTCGAAGAGTTATCTGTACTCCCATCTTCATAGCAGCGTTATTCACAATAGCCAAGTTATGGAAACAACCTAAGTGTCTGTTGATAGATGAATGGATAAAGAAAATGTGGTGTGTGTATATATATATATATATATATATATATATATATACACCATGGAATATATTCAGGCTTACAGAAAGAAATCCTGTCATTGCAACAACATGGACGAACCTGGAAGGCATTATGTTAAGTGGAATAAGCCAGACAGAGAAAGACAAATACTGCGTGATATCACTTACACGTGGCATCTATTTTAAAAAGTCGAACTCATAGAAACAGAGAGCAGAAAAGTTGTTGCCGGGAGCTGGGGGGTGGGGGAAATGAGGGGAAGCTTTTACTAAAAGGTACAAACTTTCATCTACAAGATGAATAAGGTCTGAGGATCTAATGTATAACACACTGACTATAGTTGATAACACTGTATTGTATAATTGAAATTTGCTCAGAGAGTAGAACATAAAGGTTCTCACCTACAAAAAAAAGGTAAATACACGAGATGATGGGTGTGTTAACTAACTCAATGGGGGGAAATCCTTTCACAGTGTATACATACATCAAACCATCATGA